TATCTCCATTCTAAATTGCTAGATTTCTTAATACTCTTCCCATCACTTCTCAACTTTGACCCTATAGAATCACTGTCTACTGAAAGGAGAGGGTTTTTTAGCCTACATGGCTCATCCATCTTAAATCTTTTCTTCGATCTTCTTTTCTTTTTAAAACCAAGACTGCTGACAACTACACCGAGTGTTAGCTGAGTGAGTAGCCTTAATTTATCTTATTAGAATCTGAGCCCCGACCACCAACCTCATTTCACCTCAGACCTTTTACCCACATTTATTAAAAATGACTTATGTCTCTCTAGGACAATTTGCATAGAAAAGATATGTCAAGTGCATAAGTGCAATGGATCCTATATTCGCTACACCCATATCACAATTTTCAGCAGCTCATAATATTAAAAATTAATTTTAGATATATAATGAGAAAAGTGCTTGTAAATAAGAACAAACTGTAAGTAGCTGTATTGGGAAATTCCATTTTGCACAATGAAGAACATGCAGGCATATAACAGTGAGAATAACTGATTCTTCTGTCATGTTGGTTCAAAATAAGAGCAGTTTCGCTGACCACAACTAAATCTAGAACAGATTTTGATTGATATATTTGAAATTATAGACTCAAGGCTTGAAAATTAATTTCCAGAACCAGATATAACTTTGGAAATAGATATATATCTGTCTCATAGGCCATGTATTTAGCATCACATTATCCTTAAAGGAACTTTAAATACATATTTTTTTAAGAAAATCAGCTGCTGATTGTTGCACAAGTAAAACATATACAGTCTTATCTTTCTCTATTGAAATTAACAGGAGTCTCACTTCAACAGGGAGCATTGACCTATATTCTTCAGAGATTTTCTCCAAGGAACATAAAACTGGCAACTGAAACATACTGGTAAAAATCCACAAGCAGAGGTTTAAGGTCAAAAGACATCTTTCCAATAGTCAAGACTGAGCTTCATCCCACCTAACTTTAGTTGTTGCAAGTTGGCCTAAGTCACCATAGAAATCAATATGCCTGGACAGAGGTTCATCTTTCATAACTTCAGTGTCAAAGATAGACGGATAGATTGCCCTTTGGCTACTCGAGTCTCCCCATTGACTATTGAAGAGCACAAACAGATCTGGTCATACTAGTTTAAGATAACTGAAATTAGGTGATTAATCCAGCTCTGAGCCTGACCTCTTGAATATTGAAAGCTCTGGAGCTTTACAAACTTATTCCAATAGAGGGAATTATTCTTTTACTGCGGGACACTAACCAATAATGTAAGGTTGAACCAAAGATGACTTGTCAAACATACAGTATTTCCATCATGATGCTTCAAGTCTGTAAGTAAAGACTTGACTGACCTCATCGAAGATCACGTGCTATCTCATGCAGAGCTCTCTCTAAGCCCAGAAACAGCCGGCTGCTCAACATGAGGAATGGCACAAGCAGCTCCAGTCCTGCAGCTACACCATCAGTTATGGACTAAACTACTAGCAGACCTGCATGGGTAGATGCAAGACAACTGATAGTGAAGGAGCAGATGTTTAAAGATACTGAACATCTCCATTCCTTTGATAAAAAATAGCCACTGATAAAGATTTAATGAAGACCAAGTGGTTTTGATATGTACATAGGCAGAATTTCCATTACAAGTGAATAAAAAATTATTTGTTTGCTTTTTCTTCTTGAATATCTAATATGGTCATGAGGAAAAGACCACTATTCTCAAACATAATTACTTTCATTGCTAGTATCTAGAAAAGATGAGGAAAGTAAACAACAAAAAGAGTTCTTTCAGTTCTTATTGCTCTCATTGTATTTACTTCTCTTAAAAAAAAAAAAGAAACATTCATTCATTCAACATTCTGGCTAAAGTTTAATTTAAGATTAGTTTTTAGGAAAGTAAAGTGCTTAACTTATTTGAACTGATTGCTGACAAAAATCCCTTCAATATCACTTAGTATGCACTCTAAACACTTGATGGGCAGGAGAAGATACAAGTGCTCCCTCGCTACACCAAGAAGAGGATGGATGTGCTCTGATGTTGCTGTCCCACATCCTACCGTTGACAAGACCCCTGTATTATCTCTTCTGTAAGTGGAGCACTCACATTTATCATTGCAGGAGCTGTCACTGTTACTTTTTCCCATATCATATTTAAGACGAGTACTTAAGATACCCTCTTCTTCCTCCAATTTAAATACGGAATTAAGCATGGTTATTCGTATTCACAATTGACATAGATGAAATAGAGAAAGATAAAGTGATTTGTAATGTTTGCTGCCGAACGTCTTTCTGATTTGCTGTGCAATAGCAACATCATCAGGTTTTATATACTTATTTATAAAACATATATATATATATATATATATATGCCATTAGCCAGATTTGGAACAGCCCATTTCTTTCTGCAATCAAAAAAACTGCAAAAAAATATGTACATGGAAAGTAGAAGAAAGGAATCACAAGAGTATCCAGAATATCCTTTACAATTTCAATGATGTTGTTTCTCTAGCTATAGAAAATGGAGTTATACTTAGCTAGTTAAGAAATATTTAATAATATCATTCTCAGAAATGTTTCTGACAAACAACTGAATAAGGGTAAATGAGTGGGTAGGGCTGTCTGTGTTATTTAGGACTTTCTATTACAGTTACAGTCCTTACTGGTCTATTCCAACCATTTAACGCAGAAATACAGATGTGTCAAGGCAAATGAAATTAAGTATAAAACAATCACAGAAATGAAATACTCTGTCTCTTCTAGTTCCTTTAAAGGCCATTACAAACCGTGCTTGTCTGAAATTTTATTTAGCCATCTGAAAGACTTTTGCATCAATGGAATTGCTCAAAAACTAGAAAGCTGGCAAATAATTCCGTGTAAATCTAGAGAGCTCATTGTTTTTGCTTTACCTTATAATTTTTGTGAAAATTTTAACTGTATGAATAGTTTGTATTTGGTCATAATTCAGTACTACAGTCTTTTTTTGATTTTGTTTTTTTTTTGTTTATTTTTTTTCACCTTTAATTTTTCTTGTCTTTCTCTTTTTCCTGGCAATTTCTGTGTGGGCTGGTTGGTTTATTTATTTATTTATCTATCTATCTATTTATTTATTTATTAAATACGTTTTGTCACTGAGACTTTGCTTCTTGAAAAGCTAGGAGGGTCAGAATAATGTAAAACTGAAAATAAAAAAGACCATCCAATTTACCTGAAAAAATGGAAAATCTCTGAAATGTTTAATTTTGGGCCTAAAGTATATTTTTTTTTTATTTATTAAATACGTTTTGTCACTGAGAAAATGGAAAGTCTTTGCTTCTTGAAAAGCTAGGAGGGTCAGAATAATGTAAAACTGAAAATAAAAAAGACCATCCAATTTACCTGAAAAAATGGAAAATCTCTGAAATGTTTAATTTTGGGCCTAAAGTATATTTTTTTAATGTCTATTCTTTTTTTTTTTTTTTTTTTTTTTTTTGTTCTGTTCTTCTTAGGCAAAAAAAGATACCTATAGACATATTTCTAGTTACACACGTAGCTCTTTGTGATTCCCACCTTACTGGAGCATCCTGATGTCCTGTGTTACGACCATGGACAGCTCCTGTCCTCTTCCTTTAGAGCTGTCGGGGTGGTC